CACACCAAATTGTGCTTACCTCAATTTGCCCTTCGGTGGTTCCCAGAAATAGTCTTTATGAGTATAAATAGCCCTTTACTATCAACCCTATACAGGGTTGCCAGGATTGTCCTGGAGTCGCCAGGAATTAAAGATTAATCTTTAATGAAAGATTCTGTCATGTGATGAAACTTCCAGGAATACGTCCAACCAAACCTGGCAATCCTCCCTGTGCATCACAAAGCAAGCCCTCGATAGTCCATCAATGTACAGCCCCAGCATCTCACACCACGCTCAGGCTCTCTGCAGCTCCAGCCTCTCAGCCCAGCCTTTAGACCTCTCTGGCCCTCTATCTTCAGCACTGTGGCTCAGAGAGCTATCAGACATCTCCCCCTGGTGCTCTCAGCCCTCTCCAGCCTGAGCTTTCTCAGGCTCAGAAAGGTCAGCATGCTTCTCCCTCTGCTGGCTTCCTGGAAATTTCTCCCTCTTTCCAGGGAGGTCATCCAGAGCTTTCTGCTCTCTTCAGGTTTCTCCCAGAGCAAGTCTCTGCTGCTGCTTCTTGTCTCCCATTTAGGGACCACCTCCTCTAGGGTCCAGCTGCCCTCTTTTAAGCCTAATAGGAGGTCAACTGACCAGTCACTGGCCTCTTCCCTCATAAAAGGCCAGTGTCACCCTCTGACACTCCCCTTCCAGAGAGTTACTACAGAATCAATTTAAACTTGATATGAAAGTCCAGTCGAGGGTGTACCTGTACTGTCACCAGTGGGTAGAGATGGGCAAAATTTTTCAGTCAAATAGTAAATTTGCTGAAAAATGCAGTTTCAGGGCAACCAAAACTACTTGTGAATTGGAGTGGAATTTGGCTAATAGTGTTGGCTGAATAAAAAATGAAAAAAAAAACAGTTAAAAGTTTGTTTTTCATTTTCCAAAACAAAATGTTTTGACGTTTCATTTTGTTAATTGTTTAAAATAATGTAAGGGGTAAAGAACACCTGAAAACATAATAAAATGAAACTAAACAAATAAAGATTATTTTCAGGTGAAACCAAAAGTTTTGTTTGACCCAAAGTGAATTGGTTTTTCATTTTGGTGAGAGAGAAAAAAACCCCAAAAAATTCAGTTTCAATTTGATAGTAGCTGATTTTTTTTTTTTTTTTTTTTTTTTTTTTATCCCCTGTACTGTAATATAAATTATTCACTCAGCTCTACGAGTGAGAAGAGTTTGATAATGTTCAATGAGCAGACAGAAGGATTCCTCGATCTGACTGACACAATGTCTGACTTGGGGCCTAACCCTGCATGCCTTACTCACGTTGGTACCTCCTTCAAGTCAATGAGACCAACCACGGTGTGTAGGGCATAGGGAAATCTTCAAGTGCCATAGAGCCAGCACAGGAGCATGATGGGGGTCATGGCTGGAATGCCCATACACTCCAACAACACGCCTCTTGGAGTCCACTGCAGCCAATAAAACTTACAGCAGCCGTGGGGCTGCTTTAAGTTATACTGGGGGAAAAACAATCCTCCAGTTTGGATCGAGGATTCCAAAGTTCAGCTTTGCTGGGCAGAGTTATGGTGCAGCTCTGTGACTCCATTTTCTAATACTCTCCTAGTTCCTTCTGACCTCCTTTGACTGGATGTGTAACTGACACTATCCCTTTACATCAGTTGCCCCCGTGACTTCTATGGAAGTTGCATCTCCTTTAACAGGTATGAATGCAGAATAAATGAGATGTATAGTAATGACTCATAATAGAACACTACTGGTGTCCACACAGAACAAAACAAGTTTTCCATTCTTTTTCTCTCTTGGTTTTTGACATGGGGAAAGGGAAAACATCCAATACAGCAAATAATAGTGGTCATATCTGTTGTGTTTAAGGTTAAAGGAAAAATAAATTAAACATCAGAGGATAACTTTTTGAGATCTTACCGCCACCAGGTCGAACATGAAGTGGCCTTTTAGTGGATCGGTGAAGAAGTAGTGATCAAGTCTGCCCTTCAAAGGTAGGGCTGTTTTTCTTGGTTAACATTCTGCTCTATTACAGAGTTGTTACTATGCATGTGTCTTCCAGGTGGACAGACCCTCTGTTGAAACATAACTGAATGACAGCATAAGCAAGGGTGATATCATGGATTGGTGGGCTGCTGAGAGCAAAAGCCAGTGGCTAATTTTCTTGTGGTTTTCTCTTGAGGCTACTGGCATGAAGGTTCATACTTTTAATTAAAACTCAATAATGATGACTGCCAGAAACAATCAGAATACTCACTTTTTTCCCCTCATCATATTCTAGTAGAAACAAAAACAGTACATTTGTTTTCATTCAGTTGTTGAATATGAGGCGTATGTATGGTGGTATCTACGTATTCATTTATTTAGCATTAGTTTTAATAGTGTTAGTCACAATGACCAATAAACACTGGGCCTGGCCTAATTCACCACTCTGCTATACTAGTTACACTGGCATGATTCCACTGAAACTGGTGTGACAGAGAATCAGGGCCACTATTGTGGCATATTTTTCCTGTCTCTTATTACAGATGCTAGCAGTTTCCATTCTGTGCAATCAGTGTCATGCCAGAGCTGCCCCTTCCCCATGTAAAGCTGACAATGATGCGTAAAGAAGATGTCAACAGCTGCAGGAGCAAATAAATAAATTTAAATATCTCTTGGTTAGCTCGTAACTTCTTTTATAAGGCTTTCATCACTAAATATCAGTTTAACCTGAAACATGAAATCCTGGTGTGTAATATTCCCTTCCCCGGGAATTCTGTTTGCAATTTACCACTTGAAGTAACACCCCAAAAATACAGACAATTTTCCAAATAAACTCTAGAGACTACATTACAATGAATATTCAACAACAAATGGGTTTTCCAACCCTCCACTTTAATAATTACCTCAGATACTTATCTTTACATAAAATAAAATTCCAGAGCAAAAACAAAATATGAGGTAATGTACAATTCAAGAAAATATCCAAAGCTTTTACAGTTTTGATTTCCTATTTACTGATTTACAATTATTTACAATACGACCTTATATATATATCTTCAAACTGAATTACCTAATGAGGATTTCATGGTTTATTTACATAGTGATTTGAAGACTTGTTGTGCCTTTAATTATGTTGCTGGAAATTAAGTGTACTGTCTCATTTTCACCCTAGCTAGAGTGAAATTCACCCCACCAGAGTGGCTATCCATGCTATTTAAAGTGGGATTTAAGTGGTGAACTCTGCACTGGAGTGAACTTCACCTTAAAGCAAAATTCTGCCGATGTAAAATCCCATTCTCAGGTGTAACTGAGGGAAGAATCTGGCCCCTAAAGTATTGGTGGGTTCCTGATACAATCGGTGCACTAAAATTCTGTACTCAGGTCTCTTAACTGTGAGTGAAATGCCAATTCATGTAAATGGGAGCTGAGGATGCAGATCAAGGGCAGTATATGGCCCTCATTTTGTAAACTTGACTACTTTCCAAACACAAGTCCAAAGCTTTATCATCCAATCTCTACAGCAGAGCAAGAAAAAAGTATAAGTCAGGGAGGCTGATAATAGACTATCATAATACCACAAACCTCAACATTGAAAATGTAGACATGAAGATATTCAGCTGTCCTCCTAACAGTGTGGATCTCTGGATTTCTGTGTTTTTGAGGTTAGCTGTGCATAAGGTGCTGAGTTTGGAGCAAAAAATTGACATTTATAATAAAACGTCCAAGTTTTTTTTCTAAAATATGCTACAATCTAAGGACCTAATCCAAAACCAATTGGGATAATGGGAGTCTTTCTACTGGCTTCAATGGGCTTTGGTTGAGGCCTTGAAACAGGTTCACTGGAGACAATTTAGCGAGAGTAACCTCTTGACTTTGGAAAGGAATAATTTACTTTTGTGAGCTAACTTACATTTCAGATGTGTAATCACTATGAAACTGTTTCCTCTATGAGTTTTTATATATTTTATATCTAAATGCAAAACTCCAGCTTTTGGGAGGACATTCTGTAGATTTGTATCATTCCTTGGAAGAGAAATTAGAATATTTTGTGGCTCCTTGATTGTACTTTCTTCATCTGTGACCAAATCCAATATTCTTCACATTACATAACTGTTACAGAAAATAATGTTGGAGAAAACACAACAGGAAGCAAATTGCTTATACAAAATGTAAGAGGGTTGCTGTATTTTATGAAAATGGCAGCCTCTTGGTAAAGAGAAAAGCATATCAGATGCTGGCTTAGGCCTATATAAACATGTTACACATTCTCCCATGTTCCTGGGAGCCCTCTTTTGCTGACACCCACCCCCAGCATGCCTTGAAAACCATCCCTACTTTGTGTAATGCCCATCGTGAAAGATGTCCTCTGGGACCCAAATTTCTCCAATAATAAGTGCCCCAAATCCACCCACATCTGACAATCTTCCTGCTGCCTCTGACATGCTCATTGGCCTAACCTCTCCCCACAAAATGTTACATGGGTTACCTTTGTCTACCTTGAAGTCATATATGCTGTACTCATTTCAGGGCCCAGAAAAAACCATATCCAGTGCTGCCTTTAGGATGAACCACTGCAGCATTAAAACCAGCATGTGGTACACCTTTTCCTAGATATACAGTAATAGGAACACTGGAACAAATACAGACAGGTGTCACAAAATACTACGCTTAATACTGGGAAATGCTGCAATTACATTGACCTCTTGTGTAGTATGTATTTTGTGAGTGCAACAATCATGATTGGGATACAAAAATTTGTGTATATATACATAAGTTCTTGGTCATAATTGTGTTGGTTGAGGCATATGGACACTGACGTTTACAGATTATACTTTTCACTTAATGCTGATCGCAGTTATTCTTCTGGTTTTATGTCAATGAAGAAATTGACAGGAAACCTGTCCATTCTCACACTGGACAGCCACAATGAGCCATGTTGTACCCAAAGAAAATGTAACTAGAAACCCATTTATTGGTTGTGTGTTAGTTAATGCTCACTGCATTTGGCAGTGAGGCAAATAGGGATATCCTACCCACATCTACATATTCATGTACCCTGCCCGTAAAAATCAAAGAGGGGAAAGGATGAAATTTCTGCTACTTTTATAAGATATCTGGCTTGAATCTGGCCCCAAGTGTTCTATTCTTCTCTTGATACACCTGCATATGCTAACTCCTATTAATGCCAGTTAAAGTTATAGGTGTGTATGGAAGAGGAAATAAACCAAATAACATCAAACTAGAAAAACAGCTTTCCATAAAAATATGATCCTCATTACAACTATACGGTGGAAAGACATTTTATAGTTCCTTCAGCAGAAATAGGGCAAGAAGATGCTAACAATTTTGATGCATGATTTTCCTGATAAATAATAATGTTGCATCTTGGTTTCCTCATTCAAAAATGCATTTTCCTAATACTTGCTCGGCAACCCACAGGCCGTTCTCAGGCTATAGCAACAAATAATCTCCTTGAAGGTCTTCCGCATTTCCTGGCTACGAAAGGCATAGATCAAGGGATCGATCACTGAATTACACATGATGAGGATGAGGTACATGTTGAAGTGAGACATAAAGCAAACACAGTAGAGGTTCTGAGGGCAAGAAATCATCAGGATGAGGTGGAGAAAAAATGGAGCCCAACAAACAATGAAGATGCCAAGTAGCATGGTCAGAGTGATAGCCCCCTTCATGCTGGTCCTTTGATGGACAGAATTGTATCCAGGCAAAGCAGCTATTCTCTTGACATGAGTACGAGCCAGGAGGAACATATGTATGTACAGAGAGACCATGAGGAATAACATGGTGAAAAACATTGTGATGAGACAAATGATAACGTAAGTTGATTCATAATAAAGAATGAAGACAATGCCACAGCCAGTGCAAAATGTCCATATGCATGCAATGATTAGCCCTGATCTTTTCACTGTCATGATGTTGTGATAACGCAGGGCGTAGAAAATTGTGACATACCTGTCTACTGCTATAGCCAGCAAACTGCACATGGAAGCCACCACAGATATGCAGATCATTGAATCAAAAACATTGTCTATATGTTGTACAAAAGCATCTTCCATAATTAGATGCCTATTGTTTATTAAATATATTGTTATGGTCTCCCAAGCATTAGAAACACTGACCAGCATGTCAGCTACTGCTAAACTGCACACAAAGAAATACATAGGTGAGTGCAAGTTCTTGTTCTTAACTATTGCACAGATGACCAAGATATTTTCAAGGAGACTTATAATGCCCAGGATTAGAAACACCTCCACTGCTATGACCACTTGCTCACATGGTGATGACTTGTTCTTGACAGTAGGCACCGTAAAGTTGATGCCAAAAGTACTCAAGTTAAGTTCTGGAATGTGTAGCTGGTAGGATGAGTTCATCTCTGGAGGCAAATATGCTCTCTTCTTTCCAAAGGACTTGTAAAGCAGGGTGGTAAATGCATTTTCCAGAAAGGCAAGAAGCCCTGCCAAAAAAATATGACAACATGACAAAAACAGGTAGGAGTTGACAAAGCAAATATCAAATGGAATCAAATATTTGTATTTAACTCAGTATATACAGCTCACGACTGCTCCACATTCTATATTTATTCTAAGTTAACCTGTCATCGATTTTTTCCAGCTATCCTTGCTCATAGGGAAATTAAAATCACAAACTAATAGAGAGATTTATTCCCCTTCTTTTTTCTTTCTCCTCAGACTTTTGCTCATTCTCCAATGTTGATTGTCTTTCCCTGAAGCTAGCACATTTTATCTGGAAATTCTGATGAACACAGAATATTTTCAGCTAATGTACTACAGAACGACAAATAGTATCTGACAGGTGTCTCAATCCTGGCAGCCTTGAAACCCATAAGAATACACTATTCATAACTGAAATCAGACTGTATCCTCTCATCTGAGCATACTTATATAAAATTTGAATTCCTGCAAGAATTAATGACTGAGCCTTTTAAGCAAAAGATTTAAATATTTTTCCTGACCTTTGTACTTCTTAAGTTTGCATAACTTGTGATATAAACAGCTTATCTGCTCCAGACTAATATGCTCAACTTAACAATACTGTTTTAAACCATTAAACAAGACAAATCTATATATTTCAGGTTTCACATTGTTTTATTCTCTTGTAATTAAGATTTGAATATTTTAACTTGCCCACTAAAATCACAAGGGAATTTCTGTCAGGAAAACCATGGGTATTCTATTCAAATTATGGGTATATTAATCAGGGCTTTTTTTCCCACTAATGATAATATTTTGAGAGGAATATCATAAGCAATAAAATTCTTAATAAGCAGAACATATTTAGCTTGCTGTCAGTCAGTGCAAATAAAATTCAAAGACTTTTAAGATAAACTACTCTCCATTTTAAAAGGTAACATTTCCTATACAATTAAGAAGCAGTTGTACTTATTTACCAGGACTGTTCCTTCAGATCCTATTTCTCTTCATATCCTGTATTCTTTCCCTCTAGCTGCCTGTCCATCCTCAAGAGCTAAATGAAAAAAGAATGTTCAAATTCATAGAGCCAAGGCTGCCCAGGTATAAACTATTTACAGTGCAACTGTCCTTATATAGTCTCAGAGAGTTAATGACTTCAGTGCTCAATCTGTGACTCCTCCTCTACCCCCTTCTTTGCCTCCAACTTCTCTTCCCACACATTTCATTACTGAAGGCTTGGGTTTTTACCACCACCTAGTGACTCACACTTGTAGAGCACTTCAACTTTTATTTTTTTTGGCAGCTATTTGCGATCCAGAATTCACTCCCAAACTGTTTTATTTGTGTGTGTGTGTGTGTGTGTGTGTGTGTGTGTATATATATATATATAAAATGATAAATAACTGGCATATTTGCTTGGCTTGTTTTCTTACACTTATGCACTTGTTCTATTTTTCTTTCCCTATTATTTTTAGTATTGATTGAAAACAAGTCTCCACTGAAATCATCCATCCAAAATTGGTGAGAGCACAGGAACAGAATTTTGTGGTAGCTTTTATTTATTTATTTTTATTAATACCTAGCATTTGCCTTATATGCACTCTGTGGCACCTGATCTTCAACAGACAAAGAGCCACACTGTCATTAAACAGAACTGCAAAAAGACATAAAAGAAGAACATGCTAAGCCTACCTTTACTAGCAGGATCGCCTCCGAGTTGGGGGATCAAATGGAGGGGTGCCAGATGGGCACTAGGTGTAGAGACTAGCCCATAAGGGCAGTACAGAATGACCCAGCCTGGGCAGGCACTCTGTCCTGTGAGTGGAACACAGACTGGTGGGTCAGGTTTGTGACTAAGGGTATGTCGACACTGCATAGAAAAACCAAGTCTCAGAGCCTGGGTCAGTTGACTTGGGCTCACAGGGCTCGGGCTGCAGGTCTAAATTTAGCAGTTCCCAGAAGTCAACACATTTCATTTCAACCTTTCTAAAACATTTCTATGGTTTCCCAAGCTGCCCAGAGCCCTGGCAGCCCATAGCCTGAGGAGTCTGGGAGAGGGAGCTCCCAGGACTTCTGGGCTGCTGAGGAGCTGGGAGTCTTGGGAGCCAACCTGCCAGGCTCCTCTGGAGCTGGGGACCTTGAAAGACCTGGTAGCCTGGTCTGCCAAAGAGCCACAAACCAGGGCTCGCAGACTTCCAGGCTCCCCATTCCAGTCAGGCTGCTGAGAAGCCAGGCAGGTGAGCTAAAAGGAAACAAGGCAGGTTTTGAAATCTGCTTGGCAGGCAGGGATACACTGGAAACCTGCCTGGCTTCTGCCTGAATTTTGTCAGAATTGGCATGGTCACCCAGGACATTTTGATTTCAACAAACCAGCATTTGTAAAGACAAAAAACATTCCGCTGGAAAATGTCTAGCCTGTGCTAAACAAGGTTTGCCGTCGTAGCCATCCAGGGACAGCTGTACTGGCCAACCCCTCTAGTGGGATGCAACTACCGGCAAAAGAGTGGTTCTATCAGTAGAGTTCACCAGTTCCCTGACCAAACTAAACTATACCAGCAAAAGCTTTTTTTTTTTTTTTTAATTTGCTGGTATAACCATGTCTACACTAGGGCTTTTACTGGTGTATAAAAATGTTATTTAAAAAATCACACCCCTATCCAACATTAAAATACTGACCTGTAGATCTACCTGTAGCATGCAAGACAGCTGACTCCCCCTCTCTAAGGCTAAGTGCTGCTCCCACTAGCAAATCCACACAGGGCAGGGGCTTGTCCCTTAGAATCCTTCAAGATACAAAAATGCATGTGAGGTATTTGTTGTACAATGATAGTTAATACTACTAATGAAATTAATCAAAACAGCGAAACAAGCTGCATTTACCTCCCCGTAATCTCCCAGTCATTCTCTAATAGAACGAGAACTCCTGAGTACTCCAAAGAAAACATGTCCTGCATTGTATCCATCTGAATGAGACGGCAAACATATCTGGGCAGGCACCTTACCGCCTCTGCCACTCTAAAGTGCCATGTACACTTTTGGTCCTGTATAAACAGCCAACAAGAAATGGTAATAATGTTAAACACCCTATTCTAGATTAAAAGTGTTTGGTGGAAACTGGACCTGAACCAAGACTCCAGATTTAAACACCCCTAAACTTTGGAGGATGTTTGAAATCTAATCCTGCTACTCGGCCTGAATTTTGCAAATGCCTATTTTTCTACTGGGCAGCAGATCTGACGACTCTTGAACTGGTGTTTGAAATCTAGTGCTGGCTTGGGGGAAATAAGAATTTACCAGCTTCTCCCTGGCAAAGGCCATGTAACGCCTCCCCAGAATCAGATCCCCTGCACAGGGATTGCACCTTATAATCTTCCCTCTGGAAACATGTGGAAGGGAAGAAGCAGGCAGATCCAGGACTCCCTTTTCTCCTCCCTCATGCGCTAGCCAGCAGAGCTGTGTGGCTGCATGTGGAGAGGTATGCTGCACAAAAAGGTGCATCCCAAATTTCAGACACCCACCCCAGAACGTTTATGGGGCCCTGGGAAGCATGGTGCCTTTCTGAGGCACAGTTGCTCTCCATGGGGCAGTGTCATTTCTGCACCACTCCCTACATCTGGTTGTGTCTACATGGCACAATTTATATTGTTAGGCCCAACTTCTGCCCTGGATTAGATGGCAAGTGAGCATGAAAAAATTGTCCAAAAAGAGAATCTAGCCCTTACAACCTGCTCCACTCACTCTATGGTAAAAGAAAGACAAATCTCTCTCAACAATGTTATTCAAATTATTCCTAGGCTATTGTGACATGATTGTTTGGCCAATAAATATTCAGCTCTCCAAATAAGTTATATTTTTCTTTGTTACTGTTATTTGAACATGCAGTGATGGAAAAAATAAAACCCCACTGTTCCATTGTTCCGTCTGCATTTATAGGATTTTATTGCAGGTCTTTAAAAAATGACATTTTGAATGAAACCACAACAAAGACCTCAAGTGACAGCACAATTTTTGTTTATGTCAGATGTACTTTAAACCTTAGCAAACAGACATTTATCAGCCTGCCAGACAAGTCAGTAGTTAGGAAGATATTTAAGGCTTGCCATCTGATACCTCCAAATACTTGCTGCACATCACTGAAAAGCAAAAATAACCTATGAAGCTTTACATCTAGAGCACTTCGTTTCTTTTTGCTTGAGTAAATGTATTGCTTGCCAGACTGACAGCCTCTATCCACAGAACAAGAAAAGTCAATGAGAACTATATATTTCCCCACAAGGGTCAACTAGTTTAACCTCCTCTAGTCCTTTGTGTTCGTTTTGGGCCTGATCTAAAGACTTGTGGATTCAATGGGAGTTTTTCCTTTACTTTCTGTGGGCTTTGGATCGTGCTCTCAGTCTTTTGCCTCTGTGCTATGACTGTTAGTTGTCTAAATAAAAATCAGCACAAAACCTCCTGGAATCAGCACTCAGACCATCAACTTATTCCACATAAGCCACTAATCAACTAGCAGTTGGTGCCAGATTTGAACCTGAGCAGTTGGTACCAAATTTGCGTGAGGTGAAAAGCTTTGCCTCCCTTAGCCAGCAGTTCACCAGAGTTCTTTTTCCACAGTGCACAGCAATTTTAAAATGCATATTTTTATTCAGTATGTCAGTTTTCTTAAAGAATTAACAGCAATACTGGACTAAGCACAAACTGTATTACAATAACAAACGGGGCATGTTATGTTGCTGTGTGTGTTTTCAATGCAATGTACCACAAATGACAATATAGTGAAATGACAGTTATTTTAGATCTAGGTCACAAGGAATTCGTTATTAATTTTGAATTAAATCAATGTGTCTGTTTATGATGCACAGCAGGAATTTTCTTTAGTACTATAATTGTTTACGCTGTGGTAGTGTCCAAAGGTTCTTCTCAGGATCAGGCCGGCGCTGTGTTAGGCACAGTGCAAATATAGAAGACAACATGTCCCTGCCCCCAAGGAGGTTTGATTCATTGTGTTTTTGAGCGTGGATTCATGAGGTTCCTCTGGGAATTAATTTTGCCTGCTCCCACTCCTGTTTCCCACTGTGACCAATGGGAGTTTTGACAATTACAAGAACGGAAGCAGGAACAGGCCCTTAGAAGCTGCTCCAAATAGGAATCACTTGAACTTTCTCCAGAATTGACACACAAACACAGTTCAAGGCAAAGTGCTGGCAAAGGCCTCACCCAGGACAGGGAGGATCCTTATTTACTTTTCAAAAGCCCATATCATGATAATTCTCTGGCTCATGCCACCCTTAATGATCTTGCAACATCAAAACATGTTTCATCTGTGTGTATATTCAAGTAACAATATCAAGGTTATTCTCTGACTTGGGATTCAATGTTGTTATATCAGATGACATGAGTAGAGGGAAGGTGATGTAGTGACAGCCAGCTCACAACTGCTCACAATTAGTCATCTGTACCTATGTTCTCCAGAAGAACAAACTCCAGAAAAAAGGGTATTTCATATCTCTGTGGCTAATTGTCCCATTCTAATGTCCTTCCAAGACAAACTTCTTTTTGGGAGAGTGGGCACATTTCTGAGAGTGACAGTTAGAGCTGTGTGAATAAAAGCTATTTTGGTTTGTTGGCAATTCTGACAAAAATTTAAAAAAATGTTTCAGGTCAAACTGAAAATGAAATTTTTCAGAAAAAGTCAGGAAAAAAATGTTTCAGGCCAAACCAAATGTTTCATTTGACCCCAAACAAAATGTTTGGTTTTCATTTCTATTTTTTAATTATTTTTAATTCATAAATTTGAAGGGAATTTCAAACTGAAAAATTAAAATTAGGGTTTTGATTAATCACAGTTAACTCACACCATTAACTCAAAAAAAATTATCGCAATTAATCGCACTGTTAAACAATAAAATGCCAATTGAAATTTATTAAATATTTTGGATGTTTTTCTACATTTTCAAATATATTGATTTCTATTACAACACAGAATACAAAGTGTACAGTGCTCACTTTATAGTATTATTTTTATTACAAATATTTGCACTGTAAAAATGATAAACAAAATAAATAGTATTTTTCAATTCACCTCATAC